CTGATTTTTTTTTTTTTTTTTTTTTTTGCAGCATCTTGACACCTAGTGTGCTCACCTTGGTCTCTCCTTTCCCCTTGGCACATTCTTTGACCCCGTGGGGGGTAGGGAAATGCTGCCGAAAATTTCAAAAAAATAAATATTGTTTTTTTCCTTCACATCTTTTTACTTATTTCTTTAATTATTTTTGTTCTTTATTTATTTTTATTTACTCTCGTTATCTCGCTGTTTATTTTTTTTTTTCCCACCTTCCCCCCCCCCCTATGCTTGCTATTTTACTTCCTTGATTAGGTCACCGGTACCCTACCTTAACCACTTAAACTTCGGTTAGGGTTTTCTTAGGGTTTTTGTAGGGTTTAGGGTTCTTTACCCCCCCCCTTCTTCCCCGTCCTCTTCGGGCACCGTGGACCCGAACCACCCCTCCCCCTTTGACCACCTCCTTCTATCACTGTCACCTCGCCTCGGCAGTTTGCCCACTTCATCCGACAGGACGACGTCACCTTCTTTATGGTGAACGTGACAGATCTCTTACACTATGATCCACCCTGTCCCGACGCCGAGCTCATCCCTCTGGAGCCAAATCCTCCTATCTCCATGACTCTCATTTCTACTTCCGTCCCTCCGCCGTCCGTCGAGTCCACTCCGCTGTCGCGCGCTGACGCTGACGCTGAGGAACTCGCACGATATATGGCTGACCTTGAGCCCGCAGTTTATGACCTCATCCGAGAGTACCACGACGTTTTCCCATCGTCGTTCTCGTGTGCCGGCATCCCACCGATGCGTGACGTCGAGCACTCCATTCAGCTTGTGCCTGACTACCGTGTTCACCACCAGGCACCCTACAGACTCTCGATCCCCGAGGCCACCGAACTCAAGCGTCAGCTTGAGGAGCTCCTGTGACTGGGTTTCATTAAACCTCCTCGTGGGGTGCACCCGTCCTCTTTGCTCGCAAAGCGGATGAAACTCTTCGTCTCTGCATCGACTACCGCGGTCTCAACCGCTACACGATTAAGAACAACTACCCCATGCCCCGTTCCGATGAGCTGTTCGACTGCCTAGCAGGCAACCGCTTCTTTACGAAGATTGATCTTCGTAGCGATTACCATCAGATCCGCGTCGCTGCAACCGACCAGCCGAAGACCACGTTCCGATCGCGCTTCGGCCACTACGAGTTTACGGTGATGCCATTCGGCCTCACCAAYGCACCCGCTACCTTCCAGAGGGCGATGAACGACATCTTCAGTGACATCTTGGAGCAGTACGTTCTCGTCTACCTCGAAGATATCCTGGTCTACAGTCGTACCGTTGAGGAGCACCTCAGACACCTCCACGACGTCCTTGACCGCTTACACAAACATGGCTTCTACGCCAAGCTGAGCAAGTGCCGCTTTGCCCAGCACAAAGTGAATTTCTTAGGACACTACGTGTCTGACCAGGGTCTCCACATGGACAACGCGAAGATCACTGCTATTGCGGAGTGGCCCGCCCCCACATCTTCCAAGCAGCTTCGCAGCTTCCTAGACCTGACCAACTATTATAGTAATTTCATCCAAGGATACGCTAGGTATTCCTATGTCCTTACCTCCACCCTCCTCCGGAAGAACCCACCCTGGGCTTGGACACCCCTCCACGAGGACGCCTTCCGCGCCCTCAAGAAGGCGGTGACATGCACACCGGTTCTTCACCTACCCGATTTTGATCGCCCTTTTATCCTTACCACCGATGCGTCAGACGTTGCTGTAGGAGCAGTGCTTTCTTAGGTCTTCCCCTCCTCTCCTGATTCCTCTCATCCTCGTATCCCTCGCTTCCCACCACCTACCCCTACCACTGCTTCCCGACTGACGCCTACTCGTCCAGATACTGACGAGCCTCCTATTGACTATTCTTTTACCATCGCCGAGGATGGCACTGTCGAGTCTCGCTCAGGTGATTGTCCGATAGCCTTCTACTCCCGTCAGCTCCTGCCCGCCGAAATAAACTACACCGTTGATGAACGTGAGGTTCTCGCAGTAGTTTATGTCACTCGACACTCGCGTCACTACCTGCACGGGGCACCATTTACGGTGCGCACGGACAACTCTGTTGTCCAGGCTTTTCTGACAAAGTCGAAGCTCACTCCTCGACAGGCTCACTGGTGGCGCGACCTATCCGAGTTTAGTTTCACCACTAAGCACAAAAAGGGTGAGACTAATCGGGTCGCAGATGCCTTATCCCGGCGCCCTGCCACGACCAGGAGCAGATCCAGCTCTCTTCCATCTCGGTCACCACCGTCCACCACTCGGTGATCGACGAGTTTCACACTCAGTACCGCCACTTCCCCGACTATCGCAACATCCACGCGACCCTTCGGAGTGGCAAGACCGTCCTGATCTACTCCCTCGGGGACAACTGTCTTGTGTACTGACACGGTTCACAGGGCACCAGAGAGCCCCGTATTTGCGTTTCCTCCACTGGACAGCTATGTGTCCGCGCAGTAGCAGAGTTTCATGACCAGGCAGCCGCCGGTCATATGGGCTTCCACAAGATGTTGGCTCGTGTGAGCCGCCTGTACGTCTGGCCGAAGCGCAAGGACTTTGTGAAGGACTGCGTCGCAGAGTGTCCCACCTGTCGGGAGGTGAACAATGTGAACCATTTGCCTTATGGTTTGCTTCAGCCTCTTCCTATCCCTGAGGGTCGTTGGCAGTCCATCTCGATGGATTTTATCGGTCCTCTTCGTCCTCCGACCCTTCACGGTCATAATGCTATCTTGGTCGTCGTCGACCGCTTCACGAAGCGTGCACGCTTTGTTCCGTGCCACTATGCCATCAGTGCATGTGAGGTCGCCGACATCGTATTTGACCGAGTCGTGCGTGACCACGGCTTACCTCTAAGTATCATATCTGACCGTGACCCGCGCTTTACCAGCCGATTCTGGCAACGACTCCACGAGTATATGGCACTCAGCTCCGCTTCTCCTTGTCTTACCATCCACAGATTGATGGTCAGACCGAGATCACGAACAGGACTCTCGGAGATATCCTCCGAAAGATTGTTCGTGACGACCAGCAGTGGGATCTCCATCTTGCCCACCCGTAGATTGCCTACAACCACACCGTCTCGCCAGCCACGGGGATGTCGCCTTACTATTGCGACCTCGACTATCACCCTCGTGTTCCCGCGGACTTTCTTCCACCGTCACAGATGCACCTCGACACGAGTTGTCCCGCGCTGGATGATTGGGTTGCACACATGACATCGATCATGAAGACCGCACATGAGCACATAGCCGCTTCCCAGACTCGCATGGCAGCACGTGCGAACCGATCGAGGATGGATCATCCATTCAAAGTCGGTGATGGCGTGCTTATCGACGCCCGCCACTTACAGCTCGAAGCGGACACGCTTCGCAAGTTTTGGCGTCGCTTCTTTGGCCCATGCCGCATCCTCCAGGCCGTCGGTTCTGATACGGCTTCTAGCCCGGTCAGCTTTCGTGTGAAGCTGCCCGACTACCTACGCCAGGCTCGTGTGCACGATGTCTACCACGTCTCGTTATTGCGTCATTACCTCAGACCGTCTGAGCGTTTTGCTGGACGACCATACGACCGCCCTCCACCCATCATGGTGGACGGTCACGAGGAGTTCCTCGTTTTAGACATCATTGGTCGCCAAGTCACCGACGACAACCCTCCCCACGTCGAGTATCTCGTACGTTGGAAGGGTTACCCTGATGAGGAAGCTACCTGGGAGCCACTCGAGCACTTGCAGCACGCTCGCATGTTGGTGCGTGCCTATGACCGTGCTCGTCGTGCTGGGTTCACTGCTCCTCCTTAGCCCACTGACCCTCCTCCTTCTCCTCCGGCTGAGGAGACCGCTGAAGTTGAGCCTGCTCCATCTGAGGCAGACCTTCAGCAGCAGCCGGATGCTTCTGAGCGTCCACAGCGCACTCGT